GTGGCTTGAATGAAAATTTAATGGGTTAATGGCTAGGCAAATTTAACCAAAGGAAAGAAGGAAGTTGAAAGATAAAATATAATTAAATATTATATATATACTATATGTATTATATATATATAGATATGTATATAGTCTATTACATATACTAGATATTGTGTGGTCTGAGCTAAGCTGAAATAAAAATGAATTAAAAATATAAAATTAATATATACAATAAAATATGAAATACTATATTCTTTTCATTTTATTTATAATATTTGACATTTGTTTATTTTTATATTTTATATATTTTTTTATATTTATTTTTTAATATTTTTATATATATATTCATTTTATTAAATTTTGTAAATTTATTTTAATCGTGTTCTCAGTGAGCCATAGATGGTACTTGGCCAGCTGACCACAGTAATCGAAAGGCACATCCTTGCTCACTAGTTCTAGACACACACACACACCCACCCTCGCACAGATGGCGGTATTCAATACGTGCTCCTCCTTTATTGCTTTTTATGCTTATTTTGTCGTGCTTTTCAGACTGCAGCTTAAGTGTGTGCCTATCTATACCGCTCTCTGCCTATCTCCCTCTCTCTTTCTCTCACATTCTCTCTTTCATACTTTTTGTGGCAGTGTGAAATCGTGGTGTGTGGTGTGGGTGTTGACTTTGACATTTGTTTTGTATGGCTTATCCTTCACACTGTGCACCACAATAGCATCAATCGCCGCGTATTTTTTGTCATCTGTTTAGCCACCAAGTTTTCGCTTTCATAGTGTGTCTCGCTACAATGGCTTTTAAATGGACGCTTCCGCTGCTGGTCCTGGCCCCTACGCTTGACTGTGGGCTGCTGTTACTCCGATTTCATGGCCGTCTACTTTACGGCCAATAAAATCTGAACGCCTTAGGCGTACGCTCCACTTTCAATTCCCCCCACTGTCGTGCCGGCTAAATCTCTTACCCTAATCGTTTACAGTTGGCAGCCTGGCATATTTATCTATGTAGTTGAAATTGAAAAGCTCACAGAATCTCTCGGGCTGGCTTTTGTGTGTGTCTGTCTGCTGGGCTTGCAATCGAGAGAGCGAAAATTAAATACAAACATATATAAATATATATATATACATTTTATATATCCATCTGCCTACACATAGAGAGAAGACATGGAAGCAGTCTGTAAGCGCCTTTAGTCGGGTGATTTATTTACAGACTGCGTGTGTAAATTGAACTGGGAATCGATTTAAAGTTCAAGTGTGCCACTGCATCTAGCAGGCTGCTGCTGATGATGCTATTCCCTTTCCCTTCCCAATTGACATGTATGAAATAACAATAAAAATAAATTGATATTATTCGCGCCGCAATTTGTGTGTTTTAAGGGAAAAAGAAAGAAACGCTGCCGCCGGCGAATTTACTCTGACACATCGATGTTTGCTCTGTTTTTGATGTTTTCAGGCATTTTTTGTTTGTTTAGCTTTTAATGCCCTGCATGAGCCGGGGTAAACGAAGGGGAATATCGATTAGTTGTGTGTGTTTAAGAGAATTTTTTAGTGAATATGCTAAAATTTAGACTTCAAATTTTAATGCCTAAACAGTTTTTGAGACGTTGCAAAATGTTAATTCAATAAAAAATAGTCTTAAATAAATATATTAAGAAAGAAGCAGCTTTAATTCATAGAGTATAAAGCCAAGTCTCACCTTTAAGGCTTCTGTTTCAAGACTTAAAAGTCAAAGTTTAAATATGGATTTGGCTTCCAAGAAGCTCAATTTACGAATTCAAAGGAATTCTGAAAACTGAGCCTTATCTATAGCCAGTCTGATCAATTTGTATAAATTTATTAAAGTTCAGCTTTAAAGAAACTTACAGAAAATTCATTGAGAATCCAATTTAAAAAAAAAAAAAAACAAAAATGTTATGGACACGAAACAATATTCCGAGCTAACTACTTTGAGGATAGAAATTTGTGAATTAAAATTGCAGAAAATGAAATTTAATGAATGAAGCGTTCAAAACAGCTTGCAAGAAACACAAAACCAATTTAGTTGAGCTGAGAGCTCAGGTGTAATACCTGGTATAAGAGCTGGGGTGAACACAAACACGGCTACAAATACCAGCAGGAATCGACACGACGGCGAGGGGCAAAAGCGCTTTGAGCGGGCATGCGGGATTCGGGATGCGGGATGCGGCAATGTTTCAGTGTTGAATTAAAAGTTTTGTTTATTAAATAAAAATAAATGTAGTTAATTAATTTAAAGCCGAAACAAGATAAAGCATGCACGATGCTCGCAAACCGATGTGGGCGTGGCAAACAGTATGCGATGCGCCCACAAGTGCCCTGGAAAGTATGTTAAGCTTAATTAGCAGAGTCTACTGATGCCGCATAGCATCTCAGCCAAGTGCAGCTGCTCCCCGCAGACAAGCTGCTCAGGGCTTTAATATGCTTTGCCATCCGGGCCATAAGTTTTCTCGCTTTTGCTTTAGCTCTTACTGTCATCGTTTTTGTTTTCGTTTTTGTTTTGGCATGTGCGCCATAATTTGGCAGCACAGCGAGCAGACGCAACAGCAACGACTATGAACACAGAGGCAACAAACTAAATACAACAACCGCCAACGAGGACGCACAATGCCAAGACCAAACACGTCGTCCACGTCAACAGCTAAAACGAAAAAAAAAAAACAACAACAATAAAACACTACAATTGTGCAGGGTAAAATTGAATTTAAAACAGAAACAAAATATATATATAAATATATATCTGTACGTCTGCAAATATATAATAATTTTCATGACATTAACATTGGAATCTGCGTATTCAAAGGCGTTGACTGAACGGTGGAAACAAGTGAGTTTTCCGAAAGCAAAACAAGTGCATACGCACATACACACACACACACAGCTTTAGATACAGACAGAGATGCCAAAGCAATTGGCAGCTGACTGTTTGGGCCTTTTGGGGGTTTGCGTTTGTGGATCCATGTTTGAGTCTTCCGCTTGCGGCCTGTCGACAATTGTCAGTTGGGGTGGCTTTGCTCATGGATTTCCGCTAATGACCGCAGATAGCAGCTGATCTGCGTTTCATCAATGGCACGATGAAGCAGCTTTTGTCTTTCGCTAATATCCACTTAAAAATTTGGAATTTTGGCTTAAATTAATGGAAATTAGTTTGGCCACAAAAATTAATCAAACACCCACTGGCATTGGCGAAAAGCGTCGCTCGTTGGCTACAAAATTCTAAATTTGAAAATTAATAAAAATATAAATTTAAAAGCAAGCAAGCGGCAGCGCTTTGATGAGCGGTGACAAACATCTATAAGAAGCGTACACAAATTTTGGTCGAAAATTATTATCCAATTTTTTTTTTTTTGGTCGGGGTGCTTTTCGAATATTTATGCGCACTTAATTTATATTTTATAGAATTTAATATACATTTATTTATATAACTTTCTGAATTTCTATTTCCATTTCATTGCAGTCGCTTGATTTGGACTTGCGCCAGGGCGTGGCGGCATCAGCGACAGCGTCAAGAAAATGCTTTCGGCCATATGCTTAGGCTCAGAGCGGGCAACTTCCTTTGCTGACAGTTGCCTTAATTAACAGTATTCGGGTGCTCCGTACCAAAAGACAAAAAGTCGAAAAATCAAAACGCAAAAGTTCTAAAAATGTGTCAGGCAAACGAGTAAATCCAAAATGAAATAAACCTACGCAACTGGGCGTCTAATTTAAAGCTCGTGGCCGCCAAAATACGAGTGGCCAATTTGTTGTGTGCGACAACAGAAACAACAACAACAAAAATATCGCAGAATAACATCAAAAAGGCGGCCACGTTACCAGCGCTAAAAGCGTGTGCGAACATGAAAATAAAACATCATCAGGAAATTAATTCAGAAACGAAAGAGAGAACATTTTAAATATAAATACACAAAACGTACAAAAGTCTCATACAATTATAGCCTAGACTATATATATATAAATAAATATATAAAAGACTTTATATATATAGCGAAAGCAGTGACTAAAAGAAACTCAGCGCACAATAATAATAGCATTAGGATTAATATATTTTTTTTTGCAACTCAGTTGTTGCAAAGGGAGCATAGAAATAGGCGATGTGTAAAGCTGAAAGAACTAACAAAAAGATGTCTTGGAGCGAGCAATATCTAGAGAGTGGCATTCCTTGGCGCAGCTGTCGCCGCATAAATCATTAGAGGCATACAGGGTGCCTGGCAGGATGCCCCAGTTATTGAAGCCAGTTGCAGGCTCGAACAGTTCAGTTAGCTAAGCTTTTAAGTACTTATGCAAAAGTTTGTGTTTCTATTTGCAAAGGCTGTTTGCCTTGAGCGAAGCACCCTGTATTTGCCTGTTAAGCGTCAAATACGTGAAAGGGCGCCAATTTAGTTTTGACTATGCGAAGATTGATCTTGGCATAGAAATAAAAAGGCAATTAGTCAAACAGATTATATATATATATATATATAATATATAGCTTAAATCATGTTAGCTTTTAGCCAGGCACCCTGTAAACCTAATGCCACTCAAGCAAAAAGAAAAACCAAAAGCATTTCAAATGATATTTCTACGTCAGCAAATAAACAAATATTGACTAAAATCAATACAAATGCGAAGGCAAATTATACTAATATATATATACATATAACAACAACTTAATTCTCATACACAAGAGCAAGAACAAAAAAAAACAATTATGAATAGCTAACGCATGATTTTTATGTATTTCCAACATTTCGTTTTTATGGCAGAACGGCGAAAGCGTGGAAACTTTGCGAGTTGGTGCAGTATAGATGTGAGAACCACTTGCACGAACTATGCTAAAGATAGATTGAAGACAAGAAATGTTAAAAATAAATATAAAAAATATTAAATCTTGCGGCAGTAGCCGCACTACTACCAGCAGCAGCAGAAGCAGCTAAGCGACACGGTCGCCGCAGCAACAGCAACAAAATATAGAAAAATAAATTTAAGAAAAAGAAACAAAAAAGATGAACAAAATTAAAAGGCAGCCGCTTGAAGCAGCAAAAAAACCAATCAGCGCGCAGAGGCAGCTACAACAACAAATAGCATAAAAACAGAAGCCGCATAGCCCAAACGCCAGCGAGTCCAGCAGAGTCCGACAGCAGCAGCAGCAGCAGCAGCAGCGTCGCCTCCATAATAATATTATCATTAACAGCAGCAATAGCAACAACAACAACAACAGCAACAACTGAGTGGGCGTCGACTGGCGTTGGCAAGGACAGCCAGCAAGAGCGACACGAACGTTCAACGTTGGCGTTGGCGTTGACGTCGCCGTCTCCTTCGCCGTCACCGCCGTCATCGCCGCCACCGTCGCCGTCGCACGGTACGCGAATCAATTTCCGTTGCGGTGGCCGTTTTCAGTTTTGATTTCATCGTCGCTAGCGCCACGCGTGTCGCGATTCCCTAATGGCGCAGCTGCTCGCCCAGCGAATTAACGCAAGTGCAAGAGATTGAGACCAAGACCGAGTCCGAGTCCAAGTCCGTTCCGAAAGTTAAGCGAAAACAGCTAAAAGTGAGACCAAAAAGTAACAAACACAAAAATACAAAAAAAAACTGAGAAAGTAAAGGAGGAGCAAGTGTTCAAATTTAGGCATCCTCACGGTTCCGTATCCTTGTCCGTGACGTGTCGGTCTGTGTCTAGGCAAAACTCAAGTCAAATGACAGCTATTCCGTGCTTGGAGCTTGGCCATCTGTCCGCAGCAACAACAGCGATGCGACACAGAACCAGCGCCACAAGAATACGCAAAAGACACTGCCGCTGCAGTGGCCGGCGGCCAGAGACGCAACCAGAGCCGGCGGCACAGCTCGAGCTACCACTGGCTAGCCGCACAGCAGCAGCAACAGCAACAACAACAACAGCAACAACTACAGCAATTCGACGCACCACAACGACTCCAAAGAACAGCCACGGCCTCAATCTGAGGCTGATCGGCGTCACGGCTGCGCTGACAACGGCCGCCGTGCTGCATACAACGAATGCGCTGACAGCAACAGTAGGCGCTATCGATGCCGTCGCACTGCCACTGCAAGGCACTGCCACGCCCCTGCCCGCCACACACGATCTAAATGCCACGCTGTCGAGCGGCACAGCCGGCGCGCTGTTCAACGACAGCAGATCCACGCTGGATGCTGGCCTAGCAGCCGCCGACGGCGTCGAGGATTGGTTCGACGATGTGTTCTGGCTGATAAAGGCATCCGTCATGCTGCTAATCATCATCGCGGCCATTTGTGGCAATCTGCTTGTTATTATTTCTGTGATGCGTGTTAGAAAATTAAGGTGCGTATACGCAATGTGCTCAGCTTGCATTGACCCCATCTCTAATTATCTGTGAAAAGCAATTAGCCTTACTTACCCTGTCTACGTTCTTTTTTCCTTATTTTGTAATTGCACAAAATTGACACAAAGCTGTGCCCTCAATACGCCCGCCCCTCGTGGGGCTGCCTTGATTGCCAATTTGCGCCAAGCCTCGGCACCCGCACCTGGCGCTGGCATAACACTTTCTAATTATTCCGTTCTCTCTGCTCAGTTTTTGTCAGCTTCGCATAAAATTCATGTACGTCCAGCAGCCGTACTCCATGTCCGCATCTGGCCCCCATTTAACATTCAACTCGCTTGTAGCTGCTTTGTTCCTTATTTATTTAGCTAATAATTAAGCAATCCCCCAGCTCCACATCCACATCCATTTGCATTTCTCTTTGACCAGCTGCGCTAATTTAAATTGGAATAATTGAACGCACCAACAAATAGTCACTGTATCAGCACAAATATTAATTAGCAGTTCACGCTTTTCGATTAGAACATAACTGGCATTCCAGCAGAGTCTATTTGCCCAACTGAAAGCTAATGTCATTGAGACTTTTTCCTCTATATTTGAAGTTCTTTATTCTTTAATCAATTCACTCTATTTTCGTCTGCTCATAGGCATTTTTCATTACGATAATTAGAATCATCAAATTTGACAAGAGCCAATGTGGATGTTCTCTACAAACAAAGCAATATAAACTGAATTGATAATTCTGTTGCTCGAAATGCACTGCATAAACAATGAATGCATTCAAATGTTGTTTATAGTTATCATTTGTTTTGGCTATTCATAGCTGTGCATATAAATTGACGACGAGCTCATCATTTGTCCCCAATGGCAAGCCAATAAACCTTCGCATTATCAATTTGCAACGGAAATAGAAATATGGCCACTCAACCATACACACACGCACACTCGCACACTCGCACACTCGCACTCACACACTCACACATGCGAGAATTGATACTTGTCAACATCTCAGCGAGACGACCTCGTTAGATGCGCTGTCAACTCATGGCACGGGGCGCGGCGCTGTGTCCGTCCTTCGCTCAACATTTATATAGAGAGCGAGCAAGAGAGAGAGCTAGAGAGTGAGAGAGCGACATTACCATAAAAAAGTTTTCTAGTGATAAATGATGGGTCGTCAGCTTGGCTCGGTTCGTTAATATTTTTAGTTATGCCTTAATAACTGGCAGGCAAATCAATTTAGCGCATCATAAAACCCACGGGGTTTCCCTACCAGGTCTGACGGGTTCACATAATCAAAGTTAACTTCGTCGCCTCGCTTTACAGGCGTGCAATCAAAAGTTGTTCCCGGCAAGCTTGCGCCACGCCCCTTTAGGTACTCCATTTGGCGCTTTTTTCTCTCTCCTTTTTCTTGTTGTTTAATGCAAATTTCTTCAGAGTAATGAAAACTTTAAGTGTTCTCGGCCATGGCCGGAGGTCGAGGTAAAGGACACTGAAAATGAAGCAAACAAACTTTGTTAGATGGCAAATGGCGAAAAGAAAGAATAACAAGAGGTCGAAATCGGGCTGGCCATGGCAAGAGGTTGGCGTAATTAAGGTTGAACGTCTCTTAATTTCTCTCTTTTTGCCTCGACTAATGAGCAGCATTTTATTTTTTAAGTGACTGGCTGCCAGCGCAGTCCCAGAGTCTAACTAATAATGTTACTAATGCTCATCACGCTACTGTTGCCAATGATAATGATAATGGTAATGCCGATGATGATGATGATGATGATGATGGCGTTGCCTGGGCTGCACTTAGTCGACGTTTACCCAAGAGCATATGCCTCCCTCGCATATAAATCTTATATCTTGCCTAAAATAATTGCCAGTCAGGCGCAAAAGATTACAAAAAATCCAAACGTGTGGCTGATAAATCGGCAGCTGCTGCTGCCCACAAGCTGCAAATCCATCTATTGTTCTATTTTTTCCCAAATGGAACGCATGGATGCGACGTTCCTTGAAACAATGCCACAAAGAATGGAATGCGAAACTAAAAAAAAAACAGGAGACAACAGCAAAAATGAAAAAAATAATAAAGCGTGACAGTTAAACTTTTCAAAAATTTAACAAAAAACACCAAAGAGTCCGAAAAAATGTGAAGGAGGAGCTTGATTCACACTGAATATACGACCAATAGATATCCTACATAAAGTTGATGTCGATGCTTCAACTCTTCACTTAAAGAAGAAAATTCTGAAACCTTCCGCGTTGCTTATAAATAAGTCGTACGGTAGAGCAAATGTCTCCAGATCTTTATAGTATTTATAGGCAGCATTAGCATGCTATGCTTGATGCTACTCATTTTATAGGGTATCAGAGAAAACCAAGTGACACAACAGAAACAGAAGCCCCTCGACTGAAACTTTGGCAATTAAGGCGGCTTATGGTTTTTATGACAGCATAAATTTAAAATTTTCTATGCGACGCACAATAAAAACGTTTGGCGCTGTGCTTGAATTTATTTTCACATTTTTGCGCTGTTAAAGATGAGCCACGAGCCACAGTTCTAGTCTTCGAGAGTGTGTGTGTGTGTTTGGCTTCCAATATGCAGCTTCCATTTGGCATTACATGGAGGCTACTAATTAACGTCGCGGCGCCGCCTTCACTTGAAGGATGCTTGGCAACTGCTTCCGGCTTTTCACCGCGCTAGCCGCCAAAGTGTTTAAATGAGATTTTCTTTCTTTCGCTTGCTGTTGGAAAAATTTAAGGCTGCCAGTTGCCTAGCGAATGAGCAGAATATACTAGGAAAGGGACAGAGAGAGAGAGAGAGAGGGACGGAACGAAAGCAGGTGAATAATGGCAACTCATTTGCAAAATGGCGGCGATTTGTTGCAATTAACGGCTCAAAATGCGAACAGTTATTTAGGAGCAGCACTAGACAAATAGATAAGCATCGTAGCTGCTTTGCATTAAAGTCGAATCATAATCATTGGTTACATATATTGCGTATACGCCATGTTAACTGCTTAACAAAAATTGAATAGCTTCGATTACTCAACGATGCCACAGACCGCATTGCCAGTCACTCATTGTGCATTCAAGATTAAATGATATGTGCGAGAGCATTGCGTACAAAGCAATGACTTGCCGGCGGCTGGGTGAGCCTGGGTAAGCCAGAAGACCGCATTTCCCATCACGAATCCTAGCTTGCCTTTCAATTATGTCCCATGCTGACAGCAGAATGCAAGAAGAAGTCATTTGCCATCCCTCGCAGAAGCCCATCAGTATAGTAGCAGTTCGTCCCTTGGGGCCAATGGCACCCACAAAACCACACTCACCCACAGCCACAGAAAGGGCGGACCACACGGACATGCAAGATGGAGAGGTGCAGCAAATACTGATTAGTCATCTAAAGGCATGCCATCGCATATCCCGTTACGTCTATTGTTCATATTGTTGTTATTGTTGCCGTGCTGTTGTCAAGATTTGTAATATCTCATTTTATTTTCGTTTACTGATTGTGCTCTCGCTCACTCTCTCTTTCTCTTTCTTCTCTTTGCAGAGTTATAACGAATTACTTTGTAGTCTCCTTAGCCATGGCTGATATAATGGTCGCTATTATGGCCATGACATTTAACTTTAGTGTGCAAGTAACTGGGCGGTAAGTACAACAGAAACAAAATACAAACACACACGTTCATGGATATACATACTAAAACAACAGCTAGAAGAATTACAACCAGTCGACTGAAAAGGGGCGGAACTGCACAGGCCGAGGGGCGGCTGCAGCTGTGTTGGGGTAGTGAAAGTGTCCGAGCAAACAACCAAACAAGTCCCTGAAAAATGAAGGCAACATTTATTCTTGTTGCCTCTGTCTATGTGTGTGTGTGTGTGCGTGGGTGGCTCTGCATATGTGATTGTATGTGCGAATGCAAATGCACAAAGCCATCTCGCTCTGTGTTGCAGCTCATGTGGGTACGCCTGTGTTTCAGTATTAAAACGTGCGAACAAAAACCGAAAAAGTTCCCCAACACAAATACACGAATTGAATACACGCTAGAAGCTATTTTCACTTTATATTTTTACAATAAAATTAAACTATATATATTTATATATGTATATTAGCGTGTTTAGTGCTGGGCAAACAATATAAAAAGCTTTGTTATTTTATGTGGTGAAATATAAAAATAATAGGGGAAATTTATATAATTTGATTTTTTTTAATAAAAAATGCATTTAATTAAAAGCCTTTGAAAAGTATATAGAAAAATAAAAAGACTGTTTTTGAATATAAAATTTAAATAAACATGCCACAGACTTTGGGAAAAAATGTATAAAATTTAAAGCCTGGACTTGCACATATTTTAATATGCCAAACGCCGTCATATTGCTCAGCAGCTTCTAGGCTGTGAGAGTATGCATACTTAAAAGAGAATGGGCACACACAAACACGCTTCAACTGTTATTCTTGGGCACAAAAACCGTCAGAGTGTGACATGGCCACATCCTTCACACAGCTGTCCCTGTGTCTCTGTGTCGCTGTGTTTGTGCAATTGTAATGCGATATGTGCATGTGATGCCAAGTGCAGAGACATAGCTCAGTTAATTATGCACAGGCGCTGGCTTTAAGCTCGTCGACTTTAAGCTCGACTTTGGGCTAAAGATCAGCACAAATGTTTGCAATGCCATCGCCAGCTGCCACGCTTCATTGCGCTTCCGAGAGCGCTGCGCATAATGTCGAAGCTTGCATTGAGCTTGGGCAGATGCTGCTGAAGCAGGTTCCGGCCATGCCGAAAACTTCGGCCAGCCACTTATCCACGAAAGTTGCATATAAATTGGCAATGGTCACAGTTCAGCTCGTTACCAGCCAGAACCAGAGCCAAAGCCGCGCGGCCCACTTGGCATTCATTAGCAATTTTACCTTCAGTCGCTAGCTGCATAATTGACACTGGCTCGCGGCGCCGACGTCGCTATCGTTGTCGAGCCACCTTCTATATGGGCCAGCTTAAGCGCCAATTCATGACAGCGCATAACGGAACAACAAAAAAACTAGCAAAACGCTGAAAAGGCAAACACGAGTAGGGCTACGCCTACGCCCACGTCTACGCCTTCGTGCCCAGATCCTGGCATTGCTGCAGGCGCACCCATACACACACACACACAGTTTCTGAATAGTCAAAAAGTTTTTGAAACTGATGCCAAGCTGGTCGTCCGATAATAAATTTTCCTGCCCGTTGGCGAAACCGACGAACGAACGAACGAACGAACGAACCAATGGGTGGCTGGTCGAATGGGTCGAGTTGATTGTGGGACGATTAGGGAGGGACAACAGGGACAACAGCGCGACTTTTAATGAGTTTTTCATGCAACCAGCTCATTCGCGTGTAAGAGTGCTTGTGTGTGCTTGTGGCAGTCAGTGTCTGTGTTGGCGCCTCTGCCCGCGGCAACATCGCTAGCATTGTTACTGGGCCCCACAAGCCACACTGGTCTCGCAGTGCATTAAAGCATTTCAGCTTGGCTTGAAAGTGTGCCAGTTCATGGGCAATGTCACCTGCCAGCCAAAACTAACAAAAGATCAAATCGATAAACACATAAATCAGACATGCTGATAAGACACTCGGTGGCCTCTGAACCCAGCCGCGCCACAAGGGACTTTAAGTTTTTCATAGCATACTTTGTGGGGCAAATATTTGCACCTAGAGCAGCCATTACATAACACTAACTTAATAACTTTATTATTGAACCGCCCTTATCATCTTCAGCTGGAACTTTAGCCCATTTCTATGCGATCTGTGGAACAGTCTGGACGTGTACTTCTCGACTGCGAGCATTTTGCATTTATGCTGCATATCAGTGGATAGGTAAGTAGTCACGCCAATGGATGGAATGTGTGTGGCCCACTTGAAATACTAATAAGCGTGGCTCTGCAATGGTTCGCCTTTTTTTGCAGATACTATGCGATTGTGAAGCCGCTCAAGTATCCGATTAGCATGACAAAACGCGTCGTTGGCATTATGCTGCTGAACACATGGATATCGCCGGCTTTGCTCTCGTTTCTGCCCATTTTCATAGGCTGGTACACGACTGACAAGCACAAGATATTTGTGAAGGAGCATCCCGAACAGTGCTCGTTTGTGGTGAACACATACTATGCCATCATATCGAGCTCGATTTCATTCTGGATACCCTGCACCATAATGATTTTCACTTATCTGGCCATTTTCCGTGAGGCCAACCGTCAGGAGAAGCAGCTGATGATGCGCCATGGCAATGCAATGCTTATGCACCGCCCATCGATGCAGCCATCAGGTGAGAGCTGATAGCCAAAGGCTTGAATTACCATTTGGCCAGATAAGCTGGTTGGTTGGCTGGTTGGCTCGCTGGCTGGCAGGCAGACACACACAGAGTCGGGCCTGCTGTGCTGAAGCCGATGCTAATCCTTGCGCATTTATCATGTCCCTTTTGTCAGGCGAGGCGCTGAGTGGCTCGGGCTCATCGAAAACGTTGACACTGCATGAGGTCGAGCAGGAGCATACCCCGACAAAGGACAAACATTTAATCAAAATGAAACGGGAGCACAAGGCCGCACGCACTTTGGGCATCATCATGGGCACCTTCATACTCTGCTGGCTGCCCTTTTTCCTTTGGTAAGTGAGCGATGCCACCCGCTGGCAACCGGCTCAAGTATAATTTATTTAATGTTGAGCATGCATAATTAAATATTACTCATACGCCGCGATGGCTCTTTGGGCTCTGAGCCTAAAAAAAATAAATTTCGCATTTCTTTTTATATGTGGCTTGTATTTTTCGTGTACTCGCAGGTACACGCTCTCCATGACCTGTGATGCCTGCCAGGTGCCAGATATTGTGGTCTCCATACTCTTCTGGATTGGCTACTTCAATTCCACGCTCAATCCGCTGATCTATGCGTACTTCAATCGGGACTTCCGAGAGGCCTTCCGCAACACGCTGCTCTGTTTGTTCTGCAACTGGTGGAAGGACCGGCATATGCCACTCGACATTGACATACGACGCTCCAGTCTGCGCTACGATCAGCGCGCCAAGAGCGTCTACTCGGAGAGCTATCTCAACTCGACCACGCCCTCGCATCGCCGCCAGTCACAGATGGTCGACAACTTATAATACAGGGACGAGGCGCTGCTAACGCCCATTGCCCAGCAGCAGCAGCGGCTGGCGACTGGCGCCTGCGGCTCCGCGCCTAGCTCCCGGATGGACAACAAGCCCAAGCCCGGTCTGGGCAATCTGTCTGCCGAAGATGTGCAGGAGATACAGATTGAGATACCCATGGAGTACATCAACAAATGGAACAAGAATAACAATGCAGCAGCCGCAACGGCCTCCAGTCATGTGTAAGAGACTGACTGCCAACAACAACAACAACAACAAGAGCAATGGCAACAACAACGACAACATCAACAACGGCAACGGCAACGGCCCGGACAATGGCGACGTTGCGTCAATCGAACAAATGCAATTACAATTTTCCATTAATTTTTAAAATTAATATGCTGGTTGCATTCACACTGTAAATATTTAAGTCAACATTTACGGAATTACTCGTGTACATGGTGCACTCTATAAACGCGTTGTCTGTTCGCTTCGTTTCGTTTCGTCTCGTTTTGTTTCGTTTTCGACTTTCGTTTCGTTTTTTGATTGTTTGCTTTAAAGATTTATTTTGAGTTGATGGAGCTTTAGTTTGGCTGAGAGTGAGTAAGAAGGAGCACGAGTGATTTATTATTTTTTTTTGTGTAAATAGTTATTTTCGTATGAGTTGTACAACTAAATTAAGCTCAGGTTGTAAAGCGTTCAGCGTTAACACACATTTCGAAGCCCGGCAAAACAAAAGGAAAAACTAAACGTAACGACATCATTCAAGGGGCAATCAAGCTAAGCATCTATATATATATATATATATATATACACATATTTATATAGTCATTTAAGTGAGCAGGACATGAGGCAACCAAGCAATAGAGAAAAACAAATTAATATATAGTCTTAAATAAATCTAAAACTAAAACTTAAACTGTGCCAATTAACCAAATGACAAGTTATGAACTACTTAGCTAAACAATGAATACCAAATAAATAAAAATCAAGTTAAACAAATTTACGGCACACAGAATGCAATTCAATTGACGAAACTATACCCCAATACATACACACACACACACATATACATACATATATATAAGTAAACATACTAAATATGCGTAGATATAAAAAGTTATGTTATATTATGAACGACAATCGCATGCAATAAGAATGCTCAAAACAAAACAAAACAAAATATATATATATATATATATTTGAATAAATACAAGTAAATAAAAGATAGTCAAATTTCATAGTTAAACGAAAGCATAAATTAAATTTAACTTAATGAGTGTGGCAGTCAAAATCAAAACTAATCTAGTGAAATTTAAATAAAGCCTAACACTAACTACTATAATAGTTCAAGTACCGCATGCAACGATTTCGCTAGTTCATCAAAGTCAACGTGTCAAGTGTTTGTTTATATTCAATGCAAAGTGTTCGGTGTGTTTTGGAAATGTGTTAATTGCGTTGCAGTTCCTGGAATAAAGTTGACTGTGTAGCCCGTAAGGGGAAGGCTTGTGCACAGCTCACAAAGTCAGCAACTTGATTCCAGCAATTGCGGCCCAAGCTCAACGTGGGACTGTGTCAACTGTGCAACAGAACCAGGACTTCCGCGGCAAGAATCTGAATATGAATATGAATATGAATATTGGTCGTTGCTTTGACTACGAATAGAGCAGTTCGTATCGTTCGCTAGCTAAATTAAGCTCCTTTGTCATTCAAATCGAGGGCAGCTCGAAAAAATAACAATTCGCCATTGTGTGTTTAGTTTTCCTCCTTCAAACTGTGTGCATTCGCCTGAAACCCGAGCAGCTTTTTATTTTTAAGACAAAAAAAAACGTTTAACTTAAGCACGATGAATGCAAAACGAAACAAATGCTAAAAGCCACGATTCTAGTCAGCCGATAAACAGAAAAGAGATGAAAAAAACCACAAGAATGCAGAGCAAATCAATTACAAGGAGTGAGAGCTCTTTATGTTTACTTCCAGGCGCAAAATGTAAATGTCAAATGTATAAAAGTCATTCGTATATGATTTTCCTTATCGATAAACGAATGATGGAAACAAACTCCAAAGAACTTGTTATATTTTTATAAACAAATCAATAGCTAAACTAATTTATATGTCTAACGATGTTTATATACCTAGTATATGTATATGTATTTGTATTTGTATTTGTATTTATATTTATATTTGTATTTGTATATCGATATTAACATGTAAATGTGAGTGTTATTTATTTTTGCTGCTTAACTGCTGTACTGCTATGCCGAGATCTAGAACTAAACAGAAAGAGAAACAGAAACAAGCAGCCTCGAGTATCAGGCTTTAAAGAAAAACCAAAAGAAACCAGAGCATCATAAGATATGAGAACTATCATAAAAAACCTATCTAAGAGCGAAAACGAAATGTTAAAATTCAATTGGAAGCATTAAATAATTCAACAAAACACACAAAACAAATATATGAGAATAAAAATTTGAAAATACATATAATAAACAATGTTGTTTACCATCCAACGCTGGGCGGGAGGCGACGGTTGTCAAAGTTCGCGACACGGCGAACTGAAAAGTAAATAAAGCCAAGTTGATGCCCAGACACCGCACTTAAAGTACATATTATCGGCACTGGAGTAAAGCTGATTACGAACGGCGACAGTTGTAAACTTCTAAATGACTGTCGAGAGCTCGACTTGGCTGATAAATTTGAAACGCGTGTCAGGACAGCCGCTTCCTCGCGACGGCGCACACGGCGTATGAGTGATTTTTATTTGGCATCTAATTTAACCGGCGTCATGGCAATGAAATCCGCCTCGCCTCATCCACCCCATCATTACTTGCGCCAAAGTAATTTGTCATCCTATTGCGTCGCCAATAAGCAGAAAGTTTCGACCGAATGAAAAAGCCGTGTGACATGGAACCAAATACTTAAATACTTTCACAACGAAAGAACGCTTGCTGGGTCAAAAGTTCTTTTCATATTAAAAATTAAATTTATTTTTCATACAGGTGGCAGTTGCCCCAACAAAAAGCTGTCTCAACAGAACTTTACTCAGCCTCCTCAGCCCAAACGAAAAGTCAAAGAACTTTTCTAACCGCTTTTTTTTTTTTGGCATTTTATGAAACTCATAAAGCATAATATTGTAGCTATACAAATTTACTTGTGTGTGTGTGTGTGTGTGTGTGTATGTGAGTGTGTTGAGTCTATATTGGAAATACTAAAGAAATTATGTATCAAAAAGAAACTTAAATAATTTCACGCAAAAAACGCGTGAAACGACCCCAACTAAATATATATACGATAAATATATATATAGGTACATTTATCATACTTAATAAATGAATGGATGCATAGAAATGAAAGAAATGTTGAGCATAGAAATGATATTAATGCTGAGCATGCGACAGGGCTAACTTATTATAAGAGATCCATCAATTTAATAATAATTTAAGCGTGTAAAAGTTTTTTGCACTGCGCCGCTGCACATTGATTCCAAAACATCGCGCTGAAGCCCACGCATCAAATTTGAGTGGAAATCAAAGAACATTCATCAAAGTCAAAATTAAATCTTGTCACGTTTGACTTCTGCCACTTAACATGCCGCTCCAGTCAGAGTTGCCCAGCTGCTGTTGCCTCAAGGTGCTCTAGGTGGCCTAGGTGCTAGGTGCATCGCCCACATCGGTGATCCATAATATCAGCCAGGCAATCATCGCTCATGAGATGCGCCAATTTGGCCATGACAAGTGACATTGACAGCGTCGCCCGCGTAGGTGTCAAAAGCCGAGCGCCATTTTCACAATTTCAGAGCATATTTTCTATACCCTGCAAATGGGCATTGCTGTTTGATTAGCCAGCATAACTAAATTAAATATTGATGATGAATGAACATGCCATTTCCAAGGCATTGAAGCTGGAAACTCTTGTGAATTTAATTTAAAAAAATTGACAGCAAACATGTCTATAACTGTATTTACTTCTATATATACTGAAAGCATATTATCAGAAATTACAATATCTTCTGCTAAATAAAGAAGATCATATATATTTGTTGATGGACTCTTGGTATTTGAAATATATATTTGTTTCTATATACTATCGGCAGAAGCAAGAGCTTTTAGCATATAGCTGTCGGCCGGAGCAAATCGGGAATAAATTGTGAATGTGTCACAATTTTATATTTAACAATTGATCAGATCCTCTATAAATAGATTTCAAATGCTACTGAACAGACTTTAAGCGCATGGTACATAGAGAAGAGACTATATCAGTTATATTTATAGAAAGAATTCATGTCATAAAGTCTTCGCAGATGCTAGATCACATAGATAAATCTATGTTTGATGCATTGCGCCCATCGGGTCTAGAAGTCAAGAGTACTCTTAACTAAAAGTGCTGAAAGCCTAAAAGCGAAGAGAGAAGAGGTGTAGCTGCGATGTAGAGCAGCTGCTTGTTAATACAACATTTGCTAACTTAGTTATCAAGCTGTTTGCATGATGTTGCAGGAGCTCAAAAATAGACTCGTAGGATAAAGCATCTGGAATATATGAAGGATAAGGCTGCAGTGATTGGTATGAGTATGGAATGTTTTTTTGATTAGGCAAGCCAACTGACTAGTGTTATTAAACAAAACTACATTCACCAGTTCACTCAACAGATTATTTGCCAAATCTCACTTCAAGCCTTTTAGTTGTTAGAGCATTTACGTTTTCGTTTCGTGAGATTGTTGAATTAATATTTAAATGCATAAGACATGTCATGTAGTTCAGTGGAGCTGCACATTCTCAATCTGCGTGACAGGCACAAAGAGAGAGAGACATAGAATTGACAACTGTCAGTGACACAGGACTCAGGCGACAATCGAGAAATCAAATGCGTTGTCGTTTTATTTATTTGCTGCTTTTTCATTTTTTATGAAATTTTAATAACTTACAGAGAGCGATATCAAGCGGCCCAAGCTGGAGCCAGATGTGGCAGCGGCATGTTGCCACCATTTTGTTCACGTTGTTGTTGTTATTGTTGTTGCTGCTAATGCTGGTTTTCCCTCCCCACAATTGTTGTTTGCGCCTGAGCCGCGTGAACACGGAACGGAACGCAACGCAACGCAACACAAACTCGAGCTCTCGAGCCAGCAATAACAAATCTTTTTTAGATTTACGCACACATTTGGGGTATGCCATCAAAATATTGTTATTACAAATGCAAATATTGACGCCCTGCACGTCGAGGGGGCATGCGGCATGCGGCTGTCTGACAGCGGCAGGCAACTGTGTATAGAAATGGATATGTAAATTCGAAAGTAGCATTGGCGCTGCTCCTGGCTGCCCTGGGCAAAAACTTGGCAACTTGATTATGCGGCTTGACTCAAGGGATATACCAGCAGCAGCTCGACTCCAGAGTTATCAATCAAAATGGCATTTCTCGGCTTCAAATGCCTAAAAGTTGTTAAGTTTTTATTGAAGTTGTTCGAGTTTTCACTTAAGACCTGCACTAATTTCCTTTGCTTGCACTAAGCTCAAGGCTTAACCCACTAAAATTGCGCTTTTGACTACGTTTTGCGTCTACTACGTTCGCATGCGACTCTGCGCACTTTTCAAATTCGCCTTGCGCGCCAAAACTGAATGCGCCGACGCGCTCTCGCCCCAATTCGCCCCGAGTCACTCCGATTCGCCGCAGCCACTGTTGTCTGTTTGACCGGCAAAGGATTTGGCGTGCGGTCGCAACATTCAGTTGCTGTTCAGTATTCAAAGCAAGCACAACCTATAGCGCAGCAGCAGCGGCAGCATAACCCATGCGCCAGCCAGTTGGTCTAATAAAAACAATAACATCATCATCATCATAATCATTATTATCAACAGCAGCAGCAGCAGCAGCAGCAGCAGCAACAATAATTGAAACCTGTGACCACTTGTCACACACGTTGTTGCAAAAAGGGAACTAAAGTGGCACTGACAGTTGCCGGCACCGTTGTCGTTGTCGTTGTCGTTAGCGTTGTCGATGCGAATGTCGCCAGCGTGTAACTCAAGTGCCACTTGAGCTTCAGGCGACAGGACTGCGCCAGGACATCGGCCATACATTAAGCGCCAGCATGTGCGTGCGTGTTTCGATTTTGGTTCGCTAAGCCCACTAAACAACAAAAACCCGATACAAACGTCCATCGTGAATTGTGTGTGCCGTGTCCGTGTGTTTCTGTCTCTCTCTCTCCCTATACGTGTGAGTGTGACTCTATGTGTGTGTGTGTGTGTACGTGTACGTGTTTATATTGCTTTGCTTGCCAAAACGTGCGGCAAGTTGCGGCCGAATCGGGAGAATCAAATAGAAATTTCATTGTAACAAATCGATTTCGCGTTTTATTTGTGCTCAGCAATAAAAATAACACAAACTTCACTCTAATGACAAATTAAATATAGCACAAACAACAAAAAGAACAGCAAAAATCGTTAAAAACAAAATGGTGTGGCGCATATAAGAAGTTTGTACCGGATAGCAAAAGCAACAGCAACAACAACAACAATAATAACAACAACAACAACAATAAGAACAACAACAGTAATCAAGAGCGATAAAAGCAACAGTCAAAGAAAAAGTTTCATTGCTCGTGTTGCAAACGCCACAAGCAACAGCCCCGCCCACATTGCCGCCGCCGCCCTACCATACGAAAACAGCATAGCCAAACGCAAATCAACAACGACAATGACGGCGTCAAGACCTTCAGGCTCATCCAGATCCCGCACCACCTCCAGCACCCAAATCGGACAGCCAGCACGCGTTCAGCAAGTAAGCGAACAATAAAAAACTTTTATTCTTCTTTCCCCACATCCAAGTCCACCCAAACACAGAAAAACGAAGCGAAAAAAAAAACAACATTCGGCTGGTTACGTAAATTACAATGGCAGGCTGGCCAATTGCTACTGTGCGAGTCGAGTCCAGGCTAAGCTTAGGCTTTTTCGGGTTTCCATTTAATAAACTTTAAAATGCTAGTGGTTATATATGCCTAATACGCCTGCGACCTGTGTCGGCCTGTGACAAAGCCACACACGGCTGGCATTGGCCATTGGCAGCTAAAAGGTGTTTAACATACCTTGGTTTCAGGTGTGCCAACATGCTAAGAATATAGATGCCAGAATATAGATGTAAGAATAGATGCCACAAATATCTAATGCAGAAGGAGAAAAATGAGAGAAAGAGAGATGGGGAGAGAGAGAGAGAGAGAAATAGGTAAGCAGATGCTATGAAAATGTTACACAAATATTTCAGAGGGAGACAAAGATGCAAAAGAAAAATGTTCCACAAATATTTTGGATAAAGGAACCGAAGCGAGAGGGGGAGACAGAGACCAAGCTAACTGCTCTGAATATGCAACAAAAATATTTCAAAATGTTGGTTTATATATGAAACTATTCCATAAATATTTGCTAGAGAAGAAAAACACCAAGTATTAATCTTAATTTTTTAATGAATTTTAATTTTAAATAAATAAATAAACTTTATTAAATTAGTTTAACAATTTTAAGATCAAATAATAGCAAAACTATATAAATAAATATTTGTGTGCCTTATGATTGCAGCATTTATAATTTTATCGTTGTCACTTCATCTATCTCAATTTAAATTTCTCTCATGATCAAGGCTTATTTTTCTCATGCACCACTGTGCAGGTTCAGTGGACCCACCCTGAGGCATTTGCTATAGGCGGTGCTGGCTGAGCTAGCACACAGCATTTGCCTGGGATTCTCCATAGCGAGCACTCACTGCTACACGTCTGCACCTCGCTCAGCACTCACAGCAATGCGAGTGGCCCAGCCTCCTGACATTTGCTTTTACTTTGCAGATGTTTTTTTTTTTTTAATAATTTTTTTTGCTTTTTTAATAGAGCCTTCGCTGGGGTTGTGAGTTGGGAAATCGATTTTGTTGGCATAGGACGTTGGGGGTGAATTGCACCTACCTTTCAATAAACTGGGTTTATTTGTCTGGCTTTTAGAATCAAATTTACCATAAGCTCAGGAACTACACACAAACACACACGCACACACATCACTATTTGGCATTCATTGAAAGTCTGTTCCCCAGCAATGCAAACTTTTTGCATAAATTGCAAAACTGCATCCTCAACAGAATAGTCAAGCACGCACCTAAATAAATACACACACACACTCACATACATGCTATATGTACATAGATTTCCATGCACGAATTGAAACTTTTAGAGCTACGCTCGAAAAAGTTTGTATCTGTGAGATCCAGTTTGGATTTAGCTAGTTGCAACTGTCAATGTTGCATTTGTCAAGCTGTAAAGTTGCGACAATCATGAGTTCATTGTGCGTTAACCGATAATGATATACTCTAATACTATATTTATGTATATAAAGTTTATAAATGATACAAATCTAGTTATTTTCATCCAGCTAATACCCGGCTTAAAGCTGGCAAATATTTGCACATAAATGTTTTAAATGTAAATGGCATTATTCATTCCGGCGATATTTCAGGCAGCGTCTCGAATGTCTCTCGATAAATGGCTGGATAAATGATAAATAGAATAAATGCCTGTAGGCATCTTTGGTTGCTATTCTCATAGCTGTCGCTGCGTGGGTGTGTGGGTGTGTGGGGGTGTGTGGCGGGTTTTGCTTGATTGGCGTCTCCGTTTTGGATTTAGCTCTAAGCTTATCAGATTCATTGCCAGCATAATGATGCGATGTTGCTGCAAATCGTTGAAAATGCCAACGCCAATTTCGTAGCTTGGATTGTAAATTAAATTAATGAACTTGTCATACTCTCCCAACGCGAATGGGCGCCAACAAAGAGTTCTTAAAGCAGTCTTCAGACAATTTTAATAGAAAATATCTCAACAAAAAGTCAGCTTTACTTTCCTGCGTTAAACTTTTATTGATATTATGAATTTGTTTATTAATAATCAAACAAGCTGTGAGGAATCAGATGAAAGTGAGCTACTTGAGTTGGTTTGACTCGTTGATATTTCCTTTAGAATATCAGCAATTTAGAATGCATTGGCTTTATAAAGAGAGTTGTATAGAGAGAGAGCAACTAACCTTTATGATAGCAAAAAAGTATACTAGGAAAAATAAATTTTTATAGAAAAGACAATCGAGTATTAATTCCGAATATTTTATAGGTATATTTTGAAGCATATCTAAGCATTATTTAACGCCTGAGCTACTGAGTCATATTCTAATTATATTTTAGCTCAACTTAAACTTTCGATTCCCCATTTTAGTAAATGCGTTTTCTATCTTCATTCACTAAATTTATATCTGAATTTATGGTAAAAGCTAAACATGCGAACTTCCACTTTAGCTTCTAATTTAAATGTTTAGTGCTCGTGATATTGGATATCAAAACACAGCTACGTATTGCCAAATAGAAGCAGAGCATTAAAATCGAAGCCGCAAGTGCTACACAAAATCAAATTTAATTGCCAAAAATTGGCGTTGCTCTCTTGGCTGCACTTCGCAATAAACAGAAATACGGAAAAGCATTTGAAACAGTTTTGCATTTTCATTGCGCATTCAAGTGCAAATGGAAACGCCTTTTGCTGCTCACATTTTATTAGCCAATAAATACCTGAAATAACTTATCGATATATATATATATATATATATATATGTTATGATATAAATTGAAATGTAAATCTGGCTAACAGACAGCTGAATAGAAGATATGCAAATGAATATTTTGATTGCCTGATATAGTTGAGCAGAGCCAAAGTAGCGTGAACAACGTAAACAACCATTTAGCGGCTCTCATTATAATGACTTCCGCTTCCGGTTCAGACATTTGCAACGGCTATATGATTATTTAGCTGGCGTTCAGCTCTAAGCTGACGCTTCATACATTCACGCTAAATAAATAATAAATATTATATGAACTCTCATTCCACAAGTTTCCTAAGTACACAATTAAAACAAATATACACAATGATATCTGCTTCGATGTAACAGTCGAAAGCGATTCGAATGAACTGAGTGAGCTCTGCATATGCCCGACTTGGAGATACCCGGAAGCTTATATATTTGTTAGCTTCTGGATTACTTGTACTGTGGGTAATAAAGTGAGATGTTTAAAAACTAGAATATATTTTATGGAAATGAGAAAAGTTAGTCAATATTTTTGCCTTTTACAAACACATAAGCAAAACTTTTTTACTTTTTCTACTCATTCATAAGTTCGGCTTTGCTTATTCTTAAATAAATAATTTAAAATAAAATAAAAATTATTTAAAATACAGCAAAATATATAAATTTATTTACATTCCATAACAATAACTGTAAGTCGATTTAATAATAAATTCTAGAAAGTAGATCAAAAGCAGCTAACAGAAACTTTTTCTCATCTGTGTGCATTCATCTTCAAAGTCTGTTGTTCAATTTATATGCAAATAAAAATTCAATAATAAAATATTTATTTAAAGTTGAAGAAATTGTCTCTCCACTGAGTGCTTAGCCTTAGAAGCACTCAAGGTGCTGTTGAGACGGCCACTACTGCTGAGACAGCCCTCGCAGGCTTTCTGACATAAGCATCCTTCATACAACTGGTGTTTGCTTTGCACTCGTCGCATTGTGGTCCGGCGTTGCTTTAGTTTCAAACTTTTGAAGCCATTGAGCTATTCTTTTGTGTGCTAGTTAAATGTCCGCTCAGCGTGTTTTCCTGCGCATGTATCTCTCTTTGCCCAGCAAACACACACACACTTTTTTCTCTTTTTTTTGGGATCGGTGTTGTTTCAGTCATATGTAAGCATGGTAGATGAGCCTCTGTGTTTTCCTTTGTCCTTTCGTTTACCCATGGGCCTATGCCATTGCCTCTTCGGCCGCGTTTTTTGCTGTATATTTTGTTATGGTGTGCGAGCCTTGCTACCGGCGTCGTGTATGCATTATTTATGCTATTATCGATTTTGTATACGCTTTACAGAGTAGCCTACTCGCTGTCCCGCCCCACCCGACAGGACACAATCCCAAGCCCGGAGTCGGAGTACCCGTCGCCTGTCGAAATTAAATCATTCTTCACAACGAAGTTTGTGAGCTCATCAGCATTACTTTGAGGCTTAGCATTTGTCTGGTTCAACAGCTACAGCAAAAATGTGCTGATACTTACCTGTTTCTCTCTGCCGCTCAGCGGACCATGCTGCGTATACGCAACGGAAACTTAGTTAAGTCGGCAAAAGGCCACAATGTGGTCGGCACTTCTGACTTTCTGCCTGATTTTAATTTCGGACTTTTGAACAAAGTTAACCAAATGCTCTGAATTGAATTTTGGGACAATGCCAATGTCACAAATGACCAAACGAGCGCGCTCCTAAGTACACAAAACTCTGTGCTCCTTGGACTCGACTTGCCTTTGACTTTCTTGCACTTACCTCTTGTGGGCCAGGCTGATTCGGTTTATTTACATAACCGAGGCCCAAATTAAATTTTAAGCTGTTGATTAGCATTTTCAGCCAGTTCGCAGAAGGTCCTGATACGCTGTTTATTGAACCTTCATTAGATTCAACGGCAGCAACGAAAACCGAATAAAATTAACCCAATGCAAAATCAAGCGAATGCTCATTAGAGAAACTTTTTTCACAGGACGCAATGTGCTGCGACGCGATGCGATGCGACGAGATGCGATGAAAGCGGCTCTTAATTAAGCAGCTCAGACTTACACGTCTGTGTTTTTATATATATATGTATATATATGTAATATACATGAGTATATACGTTATGAACTCAAGCTTATACAAGAAAAAAAGGTTAAGGTTCATAAAAGTTGCAAGCATTTTT